CGAATACAAAAACGTTTGTTGGGGAGAGATTATTTAATAAAAAACTGTGGTTTTGAATGAAATTTAAATTTAAATTTACTGATTAGATATGGCTAGAGGTTTGTGTTCCACGGAAGAAAAGCGAGCTTTAATTGTGAAGTTAAGAAGTGAAGGACAGTCGGTAACCCAGATTGCAGAAACGCTTGGGTGTTCAAGGAAGCTCATTTATAACGCAATTAAATATTTCGACGAATTTGGGTCAGTTAAATCCGCGGTGCGAGCTAATAGGCCTCGCAAAACCACCTCCAAAGAAAAGAATCTAATTCGTTGAATTTCAAAAAACGACCCATTTAAGAGCTCTAAACAAATTTATACCGAAGTTTATGCAGTATACGGAATAAAGGTTTCATCTAAAACGATAACACGTCATTTGAATGAAGGCGGACTGCGTGGATGCATTTCTCAGAAGAAACCGTTTGTTTCTAAGATGAACTTGGAGGCACGCCTTTCATTCGCACCAGCCCACATCAACAAACCACTTTCTTTTTGGAAGAAACATCTCTGGAGTGATGAATCTAAGTTTTGTAGATTCGGATCTGACCGTAAACGTTACGTCTGGCGCCCCAGTAACCAGCAGCACAATTCTGGGGATACACAAAAAACAGTGAAACATGGAGGAGGAAATATTATGGTGTGGGCGGCCTTTTCTTGGCACGGTGTTGGACATATCGTTAGGATAACGTCAAAAATGGATCAATTTGTTTACAAAAACATGTTAACAGAACACATGATTCCATTTGTCGACGACCATATGCCTCTAAGGTGGCACTTCATGCATGATAATGAGCCCTAACATACTTCGAGTTTGGTGAAAAAATTCTTTGAGGAGCAATGCATTCCCCTTCTGCAGTGGCCAACTCAATCACCTGATCTCAATCCAATTGAGAATTTGTGGAGTGAAGTTGGGAAAAGGATTAAGGGCGAAAAACCCAAAAATTTAGAAGAATTGTGGCAGAATATCAAAAGTGCCAGGTTGAATATACCTGTGGAATAATATAGACGTTTGGTGGAGTGTTTGCTAAAAGATGTTCTGAAGTGATCAAAAATAAGGGTTTTCCAGCGAAATATTGAAGTAAAATTTCGTTCAGAGCGGATTGCCAAAGTTTTTGTGGATAAACCTGAAATGTGCTAAGTATGTGTCCAACGTAGTAATCATTTATTCTTACTTTTTTTTTGTAAGTTTTGATTACATCGTCCTTTATGTTATTATTTAAGTTAATCTATCTGTGAAATATGAATATGTGTGAAAATATTTAAGTTTTTAGTAAAGAAATGAATTTTATGGAACATTTTTTCTAAAAAGTACGAGTGTGCTAAGTATATGACCACCACTGTACAAGCATAAATCAAAATATCATTGCTCATATTAAATTTACAAATTTAATTAGTATTAGTTTACTTTACTAGCTTCGTATCTCTGGATTGACAAATAAAACCAAAAACCGTTAATTCACTTTAACAAAATCTCTTTATTTCAGAATTCGTCTACACTATAGCACTCCTCCCTTACGTTGGCACTACCACGGCTTAAGTAGACAAACAGACAACAGCGGCGCCCAATGTTTATAATCCCAGTTAGAACAGTGATGGTCACGTTACCTAGTGACATGCCGGTCACGCTGCTGTTTTAATTGTCACTTTTTCCTATCACTTGCTTAAGGGCGAATCAAAAAAGCTCCCAAAACTTTTGTATACATGTGATCTTTTATCACCTTCTCGCTCAAATATTTTCTGCTGTGATAAAACTATATCCTTCTCTCCCACACTTTCATTAAATTTGGGATAAATTAACAAAACTGTTTTCAGGAAAGCGTGACTATTGCATTCTACAATAGCCTAGTGGGTAAACCACTCGCTCTGCCTTCATGCAACCTTAAGTTCGAAACTCAAAAATATAAA